GGCGTTCGCGCCTCGCCTCCCCCTTGGCCCCTCTCGTGCGGCGACCCCTCGGGGCGCCCGGGCTCGTGCCCTTTCTCCCCCACCCCCTCGGGACCGCTAGTCCCCTGTGCGTCGCTTTTTCTCCCCGACTCGTGCTCTCAAGAAAGTACTGGGTTCGCGCGCAGGAGGAGCCGCGAAGCCGGGCTCTGCTTTCCGGTTCCCTGCCCGCGGCTCTCGGGGTCCCCGCCTGCATTGTTGCGACTGTGCAGGTCGCTATTATTGGTTAACAGTCGCCCCTTTGCCCCGTTCTCTCGGGGGAGCGGACCGGGGAGGCGCGCAGGGATGCGAGTGCTGCGGCCGAACGGGACGTAGACCCCCGGTGCCCGCGAGTCTGGCCGGGCCTCGGCGCGCCCCCGGCCCTGCGCCCGGCGGGAGCGCGCGCTGACCCCGCAGGTAACCCGGGCGCGGGCGGCCGGCGGCCGGCGTGGGGCGGGGTCGCCGCGAGCCTCTCCGCCACCTGTGCCGTGCTGTGTTCTGTGGACGAAATGGTTAAGCGAGAGGGAAGTGCTTTATGAACATCCCTTGAGACTGATCCCCAAAGTTAAGGATTTTCTGTCTTTAGCGAGCTCTTTGCCAAAAACCGGATTCTCTTTTCCGATTGGATCACTGGTGTTGCTTTTAGTTCGTACTCGGGGTTAGTGGTAAGTGTGCAAATACGGAATTGCAGTTAACTTACTCAAGTTATTTATTTGCTGTGTGTAATTGTCCTTCCCTGAAGTGGCATTTAAGACAAAGTTAGTGGAGTATATGGTCGCGCTGTTTTGAAATGCGCTTATCGGAGTGACAGAAAGGGAACTAAATTCACTTTTACTTTGAGCCCTGAGTTCCTAGGACCTAAACCTATCCTAACACTCCGCAGCAGTGTGTGCAGTTTTAAGTTTAACACTTCATTTTGTGGCCACCGTGTTTACCTGATTTTCTGAAATCCTGGGGAGTTTATGGCTTGTGTAGCAAGGTAAGAAATAGTGTTTGAAAAGCAAAACCAGTTGTTTTGTTTTAAAATAAATTTGGACTTTCTTTGTTTAAAAAGGGTTCTTGAATACTAGAAAATTTTTTTTTTTTTTTTTTACTTGGAAGTGCTCTTTGTTGCTTTCCATGGTAAGTCAAATAGTCGCATCGCATTTCCAATTCCGAAGTCCGCAAGCTTTAACCCTACTATGCCCATTTTTGGAGGTTTCAGGAGACTGCTCTTTAAGTTTGAGAGGGATGGCTGAATTACTCTCTGAAAATATTAAGCTTTTTTTCCTCGTTGGCACCATCTTTTAAAAACGACTGTGCTAAAAAGAAAACGAAACACTGTAGATACACTAGGATTTTAACTTATAATACTCTTCCTCTCTCAGCCACATGCTCAGGTCCTTGCAGCCATGTGTCCCAGTCCTGATGTCTGGGAGGCCACATCAAGAGGCCTAAGGGACACATGAATGGCTGGGCTGATTCTGCTGTTTGCTTCCATATTATAAGCCCTAAGACTCCTTTGCTTCTTGCTGAATATTGTGTTCTAGGGGTAATTAACTTAGTGTTGTCATTACAGCCTTTATACATTTCAGACTATGAATTCCTTGAAGGTAGGGGATATGCCTTATTTTTGCATCTCCAAAGAGGCATAGAACTTGGTACCTGAGTTGTTTTTTTGAATGAATAAATCTGGAATATTTCCCCCAGCGTTTGACCACTTCTGATGTGGGCTGCAGAAAACGTCTTATGCTGGTAAGAATGCAAGTTTTTTTTTTGTTTTTTTTTTTTAAAGATTTTATTTATTTATATGACAGAGAGAGACACAGCGAGAGAGGGAACACAAGCAGGGGGAGTGGGAGAGGGAGAAGCAGGCTCCCCGCAGAGCAGGGAGCCCGATGCGGGACTCGATCCCAGGACCCCGGGATCGTGACCTGAGCCGAAGGCAGTCGCTTAACCAACTGAGCCACCCAGGCGCCCAAGAATGCAAGTTTTATTATAATTGCTGTTACAGACCCCAGGATCGAATACTGTGCCCCAACAAAAAATGCTCGGGTTTTCTTTAGCTACGGAAATCCAGGAAAGTGGTAAGAAAACAACTAGCGAAACTTTAATTAGCTCTTCTTCCTTCAGAACTAGTTTTAAGGTGCAGCTATTTATTTATTTAGCAAAAGACTGACGTATTTTCCCCTGGGTTAAGTATTGCAGCCTTGCTTTTGAAATGCAGTCTTGGTAGCTGAGGCTCTTTCTTCCCTATTGAAGAGCTGGCGCCCACCCGCTGGTGCTACTGGGGTTGGATGTGGCCTCCCTTGAAGGAGAGACTTCTTGGGTCCTTGAGGGCCTTTGTTCAGAAATTTACTCCCAGTATACCCAGCAGACATGCTGTGCCTTTCTTTGAGTGTGGAAAATTAAAATGAATGTACTTTATTTTTTTAAAGATTTTTATTTTTTTAAGTAATCCATCCAGTGTGGAGCTTGAACCCCGAGATCCAGTTGCATGCTCCTCCGACTCAGCCAGCCAGGCGCCCCAAAATGAATGTACTTTAAATTGAGGAGTTGTTACTTGCCATTCTTCAAATTAAAAATGAGGGCCCAAAAAAACTTAGGAGTGTGTTTGTATTTTTCTTTGCTGTTTCAGCCCTGCAGAGTTCCCAAAACCACAGCCCTTGTATCTTCAGCAGCTGAGTCAATCTTGGAATAGATAGGATGGCTTTGGGGGACCATGGGCTTGTTTTGAACTTTGTCTTTTACATATGCCTAGAGAAGAGAGTATACCATTTTTAAGGGCCAGTTCTAGGTTCACTTTGCTCTTTTTTCTGATACGTGGTACTTTTTCAGTAAAGTGTGTCGGTTGCTTTTCAAAACTGAGAAGTAAACATTAAATGAGGAATCAGATTTGAGTAAAACCCTTAACTTTATTCTGTTTCTAAGGACTTTCAGCTTCCTGTTTATAACATGTACATTCAATAATGCATGCAATAATCAGAATTATGATACTTAATGACGTTACAGTTTTTATTCATACAGATATTTTCCAGCCATATGTATGTTATTTATTCATTCATTTATTTTTGCTTAGGACATTTTGCATAGAACATTTTGCTTGGTAGAGAAGACCTGGCTGGAGTCTAATTCGAGCTTAACTTTGCTGGGCCTTTCCTCATTTGTAAAATAAGATGGTTTTTTTTGTTTTTTTTTTTTTTTAAAGATTTTATTTATTTATTTGACAGAGAGAGACACAGAGAGAGAGGGAACACAAGCAGAGGGAGTGGGAGAGGGAGAAGCAGGCTCCCGGCAGAGCAGGGAGCCCGATGCGGGGCTCGATCCCAGGACCCTGGGATCATGACCTGAGCCGAAGGCAGACGCTTAACGACTGAGCCACCCAGGCGCCCCAGATGGTTTTTAAATGATACTATTTTAAGATTTCTTTAGGCCTTCAGAGTGTGTGGATTCTGTGGGAATGTCATCGCTTTTAGCAGTATTTGAAAAACTGTCCTCTTCTAAAGCATAATCTTACTCATGTTGGAAAAGCTGACTTGTGAAGCCTAAGTTTGATAGTCATTTAAATTTTTTTCCCCTTGGGAAACCTGGATCAAGTAAGCAGAGTCCCCTCACTGGCTTCCACTACTTGCTTCAGCATCACTGTGGTGGTTTCCCGTGCTCTTTTGTCTGCTTCTGCTCCAGCTTCCCCTCTGTCTAGAGTACCATAACCCCTTCTGTCACCTGACAGACTCCTGCTTCTTCCAAAGGGCTCCGCTTAGGCCTTGACTTCTCGTCCCATCCCATCCCTGGGATCCCATGAGGCCCTGCCTGGGTCACTGTCCTAGCACTTTACCCTGTGACTGGACTTGTTGGCTTCTCCCACTAGACAGACCTCCATTAGGGCTGGGAACGTATGATATACATCTGCGCCCTGTGCCTAGCACCCTGCCTGCATCAGCATTCATTTAACTCCTCCTGTGTTCCAGAACAAACACCCACCTGCAATCTTTACCAAACTTCATGAAGTGTAAGTAATGTTGTCTGCTCTACCTTGCAGCATGTAGGTGGAGAAGCTGAGGCTGTGAGTGGTTAAGGTCAGGCCTCCTAGTAGGTGGTGAGCCTTAAACAGGACAGAGGGACTCCAGAGCTCCAGCTTACAGCCAGACGCTTCCTAAGTGTTTTATATGAAAATGGAAGAGGAGATCAGAATGAAAATGCTTTAATGATTGATAACTGATAATTGATCATTAATGATAATTCATTATGCAGAACTCTGTTGACCACC